TCATAATCGCAAAACTATTTTCTGACAATCTACCTTATATTGATATTAAATTACAAAGCATATGAAGACATAGACGTTCCTTTCTTGTATGCGTTTACGAGGGTGGAAATTGCAATGCAATCAGAAGATAAGCCTGCAGCTTAAAATACCGTAATCAACCAAGAGATTTTTCGAAGACGTTTACGAAAATAAATTAGTGTTTGCATATACTATTATTACTGTAAAAGAATTCAGAAAGATTGGAAAGTCAAGCGTACCGTATTATATTTCTAACTTACAAATTATGGAAAAATAATTCATAAGAAAAAATATTAAAATAATATCCGGTGTTCTCAATTTACAGACAATGAGTTATTAGGTCAATCCTTTTCGAGAAATCAGCATTCTTGTCGTTAAGCTATTGGAACCATTAAGAACATTCATTGTCTTTAGCGACCAGCAGAAAAGTGCACCAAGTTTTCATTTAACCGATGATGAACAGTGGTTTTATTTAATGGTGTTAGCACTACGCTGAGCTTTTCCAAGCATATCGGACAAACGTTTTTCTTTGTCTGGTAACAATATCAACAGAAAATTTGTATCCAATCGGTATTACGAATGTCATCAATTGAATTAACTGCAATATATTTTGATCTTACTATTGCTAAGCTTACTGGCTTCGAGATATCCAGCAACTTTATCAGTTATTTTCAATAAATACTACTTTTAAAACAAATTACGGTGAGTGCATGATTTGAGTTCGGAGGTAATGTTTGAGCCATTAACTTCACAGATAAAGTAAGGAAATTTCTCTTTTCATGTCATCTCCGCCAGAAATTGAACAATTAAAGATCATAACGAGCGCTGGCAGCACACAGATCTAACTGCCGTAACATTGCGGTAGGAAATTATGAGCTGTAAATCCGTTCTCGCAGGAGAGATAACGGTGAGAGATTGAATGTCCCCAGAGCAATTTTAATTTCTAATTTTTATAACCGGGTTTCTTGAAGAACCTGCAACACTAAGCACGCATATATGAAAAAATCACTTATGAATAAGTTAACAAAATCTGAGGAATAAGTTATATTTTACACAAAATTTTTCGTACAAAAGTTCTAAGGCTGACAGGTTTGACTTTTTTTTCGAATATAAAGAGGTCGCCACGGAAGTTTGCGACAACCGTGAGCGAGAATCAGGCTGGATCCTACAACCCAGTTGAATGTTTAATTAGATGTTTTCAATTTCCTTAAAATGATTGGCAGCTACATCTCCGTAATTCTTATTTACTTACGTTGGCTTTTTGAGTGATGTATTTAGTACGTTCAGCTCGAACTTAACTTTTAGTTTTTTGAAAATTGTACTTATTTTATTATTTTTTAAAAGTTATGCGATTAAAATATAATTTGCAGATTATCGCAGGACTATCCAGTAATATTAATCTCAATATCAATCTTACAATATTTGTTTAATACCTCAAAATTCCACTTGTCTACCAGGAATGAGCTAAATTGCTCGCAGTACCGTAAACATAGAACTACTCTGCGTTTAAAAGCAAGCCCATTTGTCACAAACTACATCAGATGAAGCTGTCAAAATTTCCACGCATAATCTATGGTCGATCGAATGATACCTGCACAAAATAAAAAAAAATCGGTCGTACTAGCCAATGTTATAGTGCACCAAAATTGCATTGTTTTGCCAAAACCGTTTAATGCCCGAAAGGGAGCTTCAGAGATCTCATAAAGCATATATATTTTTTGCCAATGTCTATTAAACGTAAGCAAATCGTGGAAGTAGTAAACTTATTATTATGTAAATAATTTAATTATGTACATGGTTTCTTTTCTATATCGAATGCGTTTAAAATTATATATCTGTAAATGTCATTTGTAACGCATTGGTTATTAAACTTATCCATGCATAGTACGATATACATAGATTTCTTCGACTAATTCTGTCAACTTTTGCTACCTGACGAGGATTTGTTAGTATTCTAATCGAGCATGGTTTTTCTTTCTCTTTTTCTATGAGGAAAACATAAAATAGTAATATGTTTTTATTCGTATATCCGTATCCATACACTTATTTATTAGAGGAGAATATTCTTTCTTCAAAGCCTTATCTTTGAATTACAATATAAGTTAGCGTAGCTAAATTTATTTATGAATCGTAGATACACAAAGTGGTATTTATAAAGACGGTCTTTTACATTCTTCGACACCATATTTGTCCGAACATTTTGATATGTAAAGGGAGCAGTAGATTAATGTCTACCCCTTTAGCAAATCTTTGTGCATTTCATTTAAATCGACAAATAATTAAATTTTAGAAAGCTACTAAAAATTAAGTTAAAATTGTGCGGATTTTATCAAGATAGAAAATTAATAAAAGGTAATGGTAAAAACTATGTTTAATCTGTATTTATAGCTTGGCTTTGGAAATGGTATGCTTTTGGTGGTCTAACGATAAATATATGGGATACCTAAATGAAACAACATTTTTTTTTTCAAACATAAAAAGTCTTTCAGCTTTTTCGTAATGGGTTTTATATAGCTTTTCGAATGTAAATCACCTATAGTCGATAACAAAGCTCCAAAAGCCGCAGTCGTCATTTTTTGTGCATTGGTAACAACACTTCGGATTTCTTATTCTTTATTTTTGGAATGGAATGGAAAACATTGCATAAAAGTTTAGTTTGCATATAACAAACGGGCGGCAATTTTATTTCAAAAATACAGGAGCTTTAAATGGTAATGTGAACTGCTTTCGTTAAGTTGACAATCGCCGTTAATATCTAAAAGTAGTTTTCGGCGTTATAAATTAGAAAGTCGTTTGCCTTGCAGACTAAAAAATAGCCAGCGGTCTCACTGTAATAGATTCTGCTAACTCAGAACTATTCACTAATCAAGTGACTACGGTGCATGCGGAAGAATTTTAGACCGCTTTAATTTAAAAATTAGATGAAGAAGAGACGACGGCGAAGATGAATTATTTTAGTCGGCAATTTCATTTTTTACACAAAATTTAATATAAATTGTTTGCTCAGGAAATATGTTTATTGCGATCATTGGCCGAGAAGGAAATTTAACGATTACAAAAGCTACTCTAATTAATAAAGTGACAAAAATATTTATCTAAGTTTGGTTTCTTGCTTTCTGGTGGGGTTTGCACAAATCTAACAAAATATAAGGAAATTATATTTAGTCGTGGTCGAATTTTTTATATCCGTCGGTTTTTGCTAAACAAGAAGAAGAAAAATTAAATTTTGGTAATCCATAATAATGTAAAGCAAATCCATCGTTTGTGAATGTTAGGTTTTTATTCAACTCCTTTTAAAATTAATTTCGTACCGCTGAAATGTGATTTTTAGGATAGATTAAGCTTTATTTAAAAAATTATTTACAGAAGCTTATACTTATAACGCTTTAGTTATCGTTCTGCTCTTGTTCGTTGGAATATTGGAATTTAACTCTCTTGCCTCAATTTCACTTTTCGACTGTTTTACGACTGACCCTGCCTTCTGCAAATATTCTGCCTATATGTCTTTTTACAAAGAAGCTACCATTACCTAAATTCATCACAACATTTTTTGCCCTTTAATCTTTCAATACGTTTTTCTGTTAAATTTCTGCCCATTACTATTAATCTTTTCGCCAGTCGCCGGCTGCTCGATGAAGGTAACATGCAGTTTCTTCAAAAATCGAATAATTTTCAGGAAAACTCAAATCATCAAAAATTGTGTTTTTGCAACAACATGTAACGTGCGTGGCCGTTCGTTTTTATAGACATAATGGAAATTAGCAAGTTTGCATCGCTGTATCTGTTGTAATATGTGATATTATATAATGAATAAAAGATCCGGTATCTTTGATAGATCTTCAATACCAATTTGCGCACCAATGGTCACCAATGGCCAAATTTTGCGAGGCTATTGGCATTGGGAAGAAGTTTACCGCATATGTTAAACATACAGAAAGAATTGCATTGGATAGACGGCCATACTTACGTAGATTCAAAATTTGGTATTAATGAAGAATATATATACTTTGTGCGGACTCTGAAGCTTGCTTCTGAGTACTGCAAATAGAATTTAAATAAACCCCAACCTTAGAGAGATGGGTATAAAAATTATGTTTAGATTTGTTAAATTAATATTTCTATTATTACCTAGTATTTTTTTTTTTTTTGTAAGTCATATGTAAATTCGAGTTAAAAAATTTTCATCGTTAGTTACGTTCAATTTTACAAGTATTTCGATAGAAAGGAAAGTTAGTCTATCTCTTAAATCTCTCTTGTAACTTTCTTGTAACTTTGTGTGACTTTAAAGGTGAAGAACACAATTAGATGCAAACATGCGTCTATGGAGTTAATTTACTTGCGCTAAAGATATAATGGAAATTGAATTGCACAACCCGTAATAATTCTTGGTTACAAATTTTTTAGCTGCAAAAATCAGGAAATTTAATGAAATATGTTAATTATGTGTGTGCAATACAAAAAGCATATTTGATATTAAATATGGATGACAGCAAGAAGGGTTGAATTGATGAGACCTTCCAGCCCATTTCAGGTTTATGTAATGTTGATGATTTCTATCTAGAGTATTGTTTTGTTATAATATGGAAAGAGTGCTTAGCTTGCTTTTGCATTTCAAACCTGACTACAATTTTCTAGACATAAAAACATAGTACAAATAATGTATGAACTCTAGGAAATTCAAGAAAAACAAAGAGGGAAAGAAGAATAGGATTTAGGATTGCTCTTAATTATTTCTTCACGGCGTTGTTAGTTCGAAAACAGTGCTTTACAGCGTTTATAACATTTTCGATATTTACAAATGTACGCTTTAAATTTTTAAACAAGAAAAGTTAACTTAAGTGTAGTTACGCTTCGACACATACATCTTTCCACGTATACAATTAGAATTTAAATTCGCACAACTATTTTGAAAAAAAAGGGTTAGAGCAGCGAGGCTAACTACTGATACTTAGCATTAAAAGCATAACGATGTGCCGATTTACCTGCTAAACAATATCCACAAGCTGATTCTCCATCTGGGTGTTTTTCGCGCATATGGATCTCAAGGGTTTCCTGGTACTTGTAATGCCAGTTGCATTGCGGACATTTAAGGGTTTTGCAAGAATTCCGCGTTGATATTGGTATGTTACTGCTTAATCGCGCTGAACTTAAAATCATTTCACATCTGTAAACATAATAAGAAGGACAAAAACGATATTGGTATAAACGTATAGATTTTCTATTACAAAGCGATTTTTCTTTTCAATCCTTAAAGTAAATGCATAAGCTTAGTATTGTTTAAGAACGTAACCGTAAATATAACATCATCTCTTGGTTTGTGTTTTTTGAAAAAGTTATTGACAACATTCACTTGGCAACCACTTGACAGAACGCACAACCGTTTTAGCGATCCCGCGAACATTCCAAGTCAAGTTGCATCATGAATTAATCATATAAAGCATCTTAGGTGTAATCTTTGTCTGCTTTAGGGCTTATAACAAACTAAGAATATGGGTTTGTGAAGATACGTATTACAAAAAGAAGAACTTTTAAAAAAGTCCTGAAATTATTAATACCCTTTAGGAGTTGTATTTAAGCTAATGAACTTACACAGTATATCGGAATAATAGCAGGACTTTGAGCTTTTAAAACCAATATATAAAACATATCTCTTTGGTCTACGTTCAAGTAAAGTTATCATAGATTTTTTAGGTTTTATGTAGTGTTTCGCTTTAAGTTTCGCCTCTAGCAACACTGTCACAAAACGATGCTTTCATAGTTAATTTAAATTTCGGGGATAGGAAATGGTCAAACCTAATAAGGAAAGTACCGTAGATGTTGGAGCACATAGACTTGTTTTTCTTTGCAATAGTCGGCAGGAGGGTTCCTTAATCCAATTTACAATTTGCTGTATTTAGCATAACATAGAGAGAGAGAGAGAGAAGCGGGAACGTCATAAATGCAAAAATCTACCGCGATTTTTGAATTGCCAAAACTTTGGCCAACTTAAAACCGTTTTCAACAGTACGCGGTACGTTTAGTGAGTCCCAATTTAGCTAAAATCGGGAAGATCAAGTTACAACTAAATATGTAGTACCTACGGTGAGTGTAGAGCATATATACTCTCATAGTCTGTCCAAGTTTTCATCTGCTTTTCTTCTGCCATTTCACAATATTTAAAGAACAATCATCGTTAGGGCAAGGCGGGAAGACGGACTCGATATTTGCTCTGCTTAACGGACAGCCGTTATGCGCCACATTCCTCCCATCTTTTTGTAAAAAAAAAGAAAACAAACGCTTGAAAGGAAAGCCAGTCGAGCAGATGAGAGCGGCAAAGAAAAGAAAAAGAGATTAGTTTTTGATTAGTCTGTGCTGAGAAGTTCTCGTGAAAAATTAATATTTTTGTCGTTTCTCATAAAAATTAGCCAAGTCAAGTCAATGTTCACGCTGCGCAGTACATATCAAAAAAAGGTGCAAAGTAAAATTGTCAAATTGAAACAAAAGAATATCAAAGCTGCGTATAAATTTTTTTATAGACGAAAAGGAGTAATTTTTATGGGAAAAAAATATTAAAACTAGATTCATATTTTCTTAACAAAAACCATGTAAAAAAAAATCTTTTGTGCTGTAAGAAAATCAATGTGTGGTTTGCAAACGTTTCTTTAAGTAATTCCGTCTATTTTCATAAAAGTTACTTCAAATCCATTAAGTACTCCTCAGAATTATCCGAGTAATCTACAAGAATTTCTTAAAAAGAACCGTGAAATTCAGGAACTACCAAAGTAGATGTTTGAGAAGTCACCACGCTAAATGTGAAGCTTTCATCGATTACTTGGAAAACGTATTTTGTGCAAATACACTAATGTGTCATTTCCCTTGGTCTAATAAAGCATTTGATTTTGTGTCAGCTGATTTCAGACTATATCTTACTGTATTGAAATTGAAGACGTGTATTAATATTACAAAGTAATTCAAATTCACGAGTAATTAAATATAAAGAAATAATAATAAAAGTAAGCAAAAAAGTTTGACGACTGTACTATTTTACAACTTGATTTCACTTAAAGACTATGCGACTTTAGAACTTCACATGCCGACCTTGACTTAACGAGTGACGACTTCTCTATTTTCTTGCCACATTACTTCGACGTTTTACTCCTCGTTCCATCAGCTCTCGCTGCTTAGTGCTATTTTAGGCATCTACACTTTACATAAAGAAATTTTATTATACAACAATGTCAGCCGAAACGGTAAATTGCGATATACGTATGTATATTGGCGTCTGAATAGATGCATCTTTATTACTCATTATAACAAATGCAGAAAAAACTGTGATTGTTTGTAACCTGAACAATACTGTACCTATGCAAATGCTACAATAATTAAACTTATAACGTATTTTAATATATATTGTTCAGTTTTAAAGACCTAACAAATTTAGTAAAATTGTTATAAAGGAGTTTACCTGTGTTTGAACAAAGTGTGACGAATTAAGGAAGTAGTTACATAATATGATGTTTTCAATCATATTAGCGGACGGGACCGAGAAACGGAATATAAATCATTGAAAATTTTACATATTGCCTGAAGATGATGCAAAAACTCATAATTAGTTCATCGTTGCGGAAGCTTTCAAAGAACACAGTGTCGTCGGACCGTAGTAGGAACATTAATGTCTATATATAGGTGTGAATATTAATGCCTACAATAGAGAGAATAGTAAGTGATAAAAGAAGATATCGGTTAAGTGAATTTCGCTTAACAAGGGAGGACGGCTCATCAAGAGAGCTCAACTTACTAAGAAGGGTTTTATACGCGTTAAAGTTTTCGGAGGCAGCGGAGAAACCATATATTTATTGTCCAAACAATTTTTAAAAGACTACATGCATTTTTGTCGGACGACACCTTTATCTGGTTGCCATTATAGCGTACACCTTTGGTTTGACCGAACAACTCACGGAGCCAACAAACAATAATTCCGTCGGTCCCAGAACGCTATTTACGGATACATTTCGAATACAACGACTCCATATTTACAGAAGTTTTTCTTTTCGTTGTTTTTTGTAGGTTTGGAAGTAAACAAAACTATCTTTGTATGCAAATGTAAAATGTTACTTTTCTAGTTGTTCAACCTAGTTTTATTGTTATTAAGTTTGCATGCAGACTCTAAATGTCCACGGTTCAATTCTCTATTGTGCGTTAGTTTAAGTTACACAATAATTATTGCAGACTTTCTGAACGTTCTTATTTCACTAAAGAAACTTAAAACCTTCAATTCAAGCATTTGTAGACACCTGCTACTTCTGATTGATGTATTAACATTTGTAACGTCCGCGTACAAATGAAGTGTAGGGGTTCTGTCGGCTGCTTTGACCACTACTCTATCGCAATAGAGTAAATAAAATCGTAATAACGGTCTGCCGATAGGCGAAATCACATTTGCAAGAATAGCGACTTGCCGTTATGCAAAGAGAAAAAGAGGGTAAGTTTCTGAGTGGTGTTGGTTGAGGGTAGTAGGCAAAAAGAGATCGATTTGAGAAATAATTTTGGGCATTTGCTAACGAACATCTGGAGGGGAACGTTTAGTTAATCATTAAATGAATAATGTAAAAAATTATTGGTAAAAGATGACTTTTTGTAAAACAAATAGTCGTGAAGTATTAATAAAATGTTAAAAAAGGTTTAAGCAAGAAAAATGTTCTATAATAAAAAAAAATAGAAGAGGGTTTATTAAAAAAAGAATAACACAAATACAAAGAAAAAAAAAAACTACACTGATAAAGAAATGTGTTTGGAAGAGAAATTAAATAATTAAATGAAATAAAGAAGTTGTAAAACTTATTCATAAAAACTCAAGAAGTTACTAATTAAAAGCTTTCGAATTAAAAATTTTATTATGCATGGCCGAAATTGCCCATATTTTCACATTGCAACTCTGTTTAATAAGAACACAAAGAAACAAAAAAAAATAATATTGAGAAAAATTGTAAAGTACAACAAATACATTGTAACAGAAATATATTGTACCATAATATGAAATAAACTGATTTCGTTGAAAGAAGTTGTAATTAAATTCTTGCATGTTTATTTGTAACATTCACGAATTCGATATTATAACAAATCGTAATAAGACTAGAAATTTATTATGAGCTGAAAAACCTACTAAAACCTAATAATAATGATTAATTGGATTTTTTGCCGTCAGCAAATGTCCCATTAATAAGTACACCTGGACTAGAAGCAAATAGAAGGAAACCCCCAAAAAACATCCTCAGGCATTTTTGGGTGAGAAATCAGCTTTAGTCAATTCAGATAATCTAATTAAACCTGCTGCGCTGTAACCGGCTGGAAATATGTTCAGCGATGCTATTATTCTACCAAAATCAAATCTTTTTCAACAATAATAAACTTCCAGACCATCCATAAATCAACTAAAACAACAACACTTTGCTGTAAACATGAGCCATCCGTGGGCACCTATCGTTAATTCAAATTTAGAAACAACACAGAATCATAACAATATGCCGTGGGTAACGACATAGACAGTATCATCGAGTCCATTCTCGGCATAAATATTTAAATGGTAAGCTAAATTTTAGAACTTAGCTTTGGATATCCACTGCAACTTTTTTTAAAATGTTCATTTACAAACCGATCATAAACCAATATATAAATCGAACAATTCATAATCGGTGAAAACACAAAATTAAGCGAACGAAAAGAATAAGGAAAAGTCTAGGCAATAATGAAAGATATTTTTAGTAAATAAATAATGTAACTTGTTAAGACGACAAAAGGATAAAAATGCTTGGCTAAGGGGTGTACTTCATCTCTGAAGCGGAGTATGGGTGGATGTGCTTGCGAGTGAGGATAGGGGGTAAGGAAATCTACACTGACGGGCTAAGAAGGGACAGATGAACAAACAATACAGACAACAGACCTTACAGATGAACTGAACTCAAGGGCCCCGTCACACCCCGTGAACTCCTTATGGGTTTGGCTAGACCCTTCTTCTTTTTTTACCTTATTTTAAGTTTAATTTTTTTTTGTCATGCAGCACGGCGTGTTGTACATTTTGTAGGCGTTCTACCGCGCAAGGAGCTATGCCGTTGACAAAATAACGCCCAACGAAAAATGGAGACCAGAAACTTTCGTATGATGTAATTTTGTTTTTTTCTCGATCCT